GCGCGCCCGATGATAGCGAGATACGATGGCGAAAAATTGAACGATTACGTAATTGAAGGTCTGCCCGAGTCAGGCGGGTCTGCGTCTTTTTTATTCAACAAAGTGAGTTATTTGCCGCTGGATGTCGGGCGAATGGCGGCTCATCGATTCGCGCAAGAACCAGCCATATCCAGATGAACGTGTACCGTGAGGAAGGTGAGGAAGGTGGAGGGCGAGGAGGAGGAGGAAAAAAGAAAAAAGGGAAATCAATGATCGCGTCGATTGCAGTCTTAATCGTGAGAATCAATTAAATCCACGACGTGCCTCGTTCCCCATGGTCGATGTTTATCGCAGAACTCGCAAAGATCCCGGCGTCTCTTCGTTATTTCCCTGCGGACGGTGAGGAGCGGAGAGAAATAGCCGCTAATATCTCAAAATGTCTCGGCTGTTTTGCATTATCTCGGTGAAGAGGAACCTCGTAAGAGCCGCGTCTTTACGTAATCGCACGTGTCACGCTCGAAATTCACGCTCACCGTGTGCGCGCTCCGCGATCGGACCGAGATTCTAGAGGCGAGTTATCGGACCGCTGTGCACAGGAAAGCCAAAGAGCCAGCCAAGGTTTTTCTGCGTTTGATAAAGACCGGACTTTCTCGCCGCGTGGCCCTTGCTTCCAATTCCGGCAGTATCGGACCACCGTGCTCGTGATGTAACGGCGGGAATGTAGCGGGAATGCGTCAAACGATCGTCACACGCTCGTAATTGAACCGAGGACGGATGCTCCCGGCTGAAAGTCGACGGTATGTCGCGTGAACACGATTCTCATCGGTCTCAAGACCGCGGGAATCTCGGGGACCGAGGTCTCGGAAGATCTCTTGTGGAAGTCGAGAATATTTCTGGCTTATTTGAGGGACTGGAGACAGGTAGTCGGGAGAGCGAGCGCCGAAGGTTGGCAGAATCGTGCCGCGAGAGAAACTAGTTGCTACGCCATTGACATTACCGGTACAGTATACCAGTTCGACTCCGAACTTTTCTACAAACAGGTACAAGCGCCGTAGGAATCCCGTTGAACGGCAAGAGCAGCACGCGCGCGTTTCCATCAATACTTTAAAATCCAGCTCCTCCTGCAAGCATGTGGTTCTCCCGCAATGGCGGCCGCGCCGGCTGATCCTAATTGCACCTCCCCTTCGCCGAGTAATTGTTATTGACGTTTAACAAATGTGCATCGATCGTACATCGAGCGCTTAATCGTACATGATACGCCCAATAATGCGTACAGGACACCTTGCTCTCTCGATTAGGGATGCGTAGTAACATGCAGTGGTGGCGCGTTTTTGCGAGACGCATGAATTGGCGATGCAAAACGCCGGGAGATGGCTGGTTGCTTCCACCCGTTAATTGCACCCCCGTGTTATTTATATGTATATGAGAAGAATGTTTAGGTTTACCCGCACGTCAAATCTGAGATACAGCCCGGCGTACGACTGGTGCAGAGCTTCTCACTTCATTTGCGGATACTCAAATGTGTGCGATCGTTTGTGATTTGGAACTTTATCTTATCTAGTATGTGTACTGATAATAGCGGAGTTGTAAATAGCAACGTAATTTACCACTCGGGTGGACTTAATTTATTTCGCAGATATATCTTCCAAACCACGTTAACTTTCTACTTCGTGCTAACTAGGAGATAAAGTAGAGATGTCAATCTGCTTCTCTTTCTCTCCCCCTCTCTCTCTCTCTCTCTCTCTCTCTCTCTCTCTTTCTCTATCTATCTATCTCTCTCTCTCGCTCTCTCCCGAAAGTTTGAATTGCAAAAGTTCGTACGATCGTTTGCAAGCTTAAATGCGCCCTTTCTACACCTCCGCGTAGTCAGACAAGCGAAAAAATAATTAATTCTAGAACCCTGAATATCAAAAAGTTACGTAAATCCTAAACATAGATAAATTTTACCCAGCGCATTTTTATTTGCTCACAATTTTTGCAAAAATGATCAAAATTCAATGCTTTTTTTTAGTCGGTAGAAAACATCGAACAGTGTGAATACATTAATATTTTTGCGATTTCATAAAAAAGAAAAAAGTTATCAAGAATTTCAGAGAATTTCTGGCTTTTATGAGCAAAATTCGGCCGTAAGAACCAGAAATTCGATCTCCTTCAACCAAAACGATTCAGATGAATTGAACCACACTTTACTTTTCTCCGTATATTAAAGATATAAAATTGAAAAGAATTTGCATGAAAAGAAAGTACAATTTGCTCTCCGTGTGCAAAGGAAAAGATATACCTTCGAAGGGAAATTAATTAACTGAGCCAAGTAGAAAGTTTTTCAAGTCACGCGACGACATGACGGAAAAGGCTCATTACGCATGCTCGTTAGTCAACTTGCCGTGTTAGAAAAGCTCGCGTTACCTCGCGGCGATTATCGTCGACTCGATCGTGAAGACGACGACGACGACGACGACGATGGTACGGTCGCCTCGCGCACACGTCGATACACTCGCAATGTCGTTCGTCATACGCGTGCCCTAACTTGCACGTACGGCATACATCCGGTCTCTCGCGGAGAGTCGCAACCGAGTCCCGTATAACATCGTATCGTCGCGTACGCATTGTGTAGTAAAAACGTAGTACGCGTAAACGAGGCGAGACTCCACGGAGCACTTTCGTGCACGAAGGACACTGTAGCTCCTACGTGGCGCGGCTCCCACTCCACCTCCTCCTTTTCCTCCTCCACTTGCGACCAATCGCCTCGAATTATATACGCCGGAAGCGACCCTTACTTCTTCTTCTTGCGTATGCACGAGGAGTTCCTAAGAGACGGTCGAGTAACTCGAGAAATTTTCGGATTTTCGTTGACTCGTCAGTTGATTCGTTAGAGTGTACAACAGATGATTCGCATGAGACGTCGCGGCCTTTTCACAGATTTGTCTTTTCCTCTTATTTTCTCTCTTGACCAATTATCATTGCGTCAATGATTCTCAAATCACAATCGACTCGAAAACTCGTGGACTCGCATTTTCCAAAGTTTCAAGCTCAGCGACGGAGATACCTGAAAGACACGTGACTGAAAGTATCTCAGCTCTCGATTATCGATTATTCATTTTCACACACAGAGAGCCGAAATCTTACGAAACGAAAGTTCGGAAAATCGGGTGGAAGCTTTAGTCAGAAAAAAATCGTTTTCTAGTGGGTATTCGTTGAAGCGATATGTACCTCTCGAAGACAGTTTCGCGACCGTGTCTTTAGTCATTCTCGTTTTTATTTACGACAACACGCGTTTCGGCTACCCGAGAGGTTGCTCTACGTTAGTAATCCGAAGAACGAGGAATTCTGCACGCTCAGGCGAATTTCTTCGCGCGGAAAGCGAGCGAAAACCGTGAGGCTCAACGAGGCCGAGATCCCTCCTGCGATCAGTCGGGAACGTCGGTCCGAGTGATGGCCGATACACACGTCAGCCTCGAACGTTATCCCGCGTTATGAGGAAGATACCTGTTAATTACCGAGCGTTACAACGCGCATACCGTCCATAACGACTTACGCGAGCACGAGCACGTGACTCGTGCGATATGTCATTATTCCGTGTCGGGCCGAGCACGCCCGGACTTTAGGAAACACAACTCGCCGGGCTCGAGGATATTCATAGGGGTCCTTGGACAGCCGTGTCCTTGATTATTCGGGTTCTCACGACAGAGCGGACCGAGCGGCCGGTCGAGAAGACGCGGACCCGCGGAGAGTCGGGCCTCGAGAGAGGCTCGTCGGCGAAGAGAAGCGAACGCGGAGGACTGCGGATGAACGAACGAAAGCGAATGGGACCGAAGTCGGCCGAGAGCTACTCCGCTCTTTCAGTATCGGCCCGTCTACAAACGGGGCCCCCAAGGCCGGCGGTAAGAGCGAGTACGCGCGCTCAAAAATACGATATTTAACTTTCTCACGAAGAAAACGCATAACTGCGCGAATACCTCTATTACGGCGGCGAAAAGAAAAAGAGGAAGAGGAGGAGAAGGAGAAGGAGGGCGCGAAGGGGCGCGACGTGTGTCAAGTTCGACGCGAAGGTGCTCGCCGCGATGTCGTTAGAAAAGGGCGCCTATTGCCTATCGGCTTCGCGGATAAGGAGTCTCGCGTATGACGAAGCTCGTTTCATAACAGGTCATTAAGGAGCTCCTTAATTGTTAGTAAAGAAAGCAAGAGAGCCAACCGATAATTAATGTCCGGGCGAGTCGATGTAAGACAATTTGCGCAGTCAGGAATCCGTGGTTCCGATCGGCATCGTCCGCCGCTCGTTAGAAGCTTCATAGAATCGTGAAGGGTACGAGAGCTTCACAGGCCCCTTTGAGCATTGCCGAATACCATCAGCTTGTCATCGTCGGCAACAAGTGTCCCAACGAGACGTATATACGGCGGGATGTAGCCGGGGAGAATTTCCTCGCACGTCGAGCCCGACAGCAGCCCCCAAACGTCAGGTTTCTACATTCATAACAATCGGGAGAAACCCGGGATTTCTCTCAGTGGCTACAGCTTCCTCACCCTTTTCGGACTTACGGACGTATGCGTGCGCATACAATGGGACGACACAGTCAGCGGCCCTTTAATTCGGGCCTTTCGGCGAGCATACGACCGGAGTTAGAATCCATTAGCGGCGTACCTACCTGTGCAGGAATGCCACGTAACGTCGACTACATTTTCGGCGAGCGTAGGAGAGTCGGGGGCCTCTTTGGAGAGAAAGAGAGAGAGAAGTGTCGGACGCGCGGGTCGCCGCCGACTCTGCGCGCAGCGCTGCGCTGCGATGCGATGCGACACGCAGCGCACGCACCCTCCTTCCCGCCAGAGTCGCCGCGCCCCGACTGAACCGGCGCCACGGCTGTGCCGTCGTTCTCTGGCCACGGTGGTGGTGGTGGTGGTGATGGTGGTGGTGGTACACTTACGTTCCACGTGACACGCTGGCGCCGCGCTGGTGGGGAGAGCAGCGCGCTTCGAGGCGGTCGCGCGTCGAGCATCGCCGGCATTTTGACCTGATAAGTCGTCGGTGTCGGTTCGTGAGAAAGTGGAGAGGGATTCTCGCACCGCAGAGGACATTTAAATCGACTGCAGGCCAGACGGACCGACCAAGGCAAACTTTTGGATCTGCTGTTCCCCTGCTGTTTCAGGGAAAGCGTTCCTCCGCAACCCGTCGGTCCCGAGCACCTTCCGTTTCTCCTACATCGCTACCGTTCGTTTGAACCTACCTATCTGTCCGCCTGCCTGCCTGCGCCCTCCTCTCTCTCCCTCTCCTCTCACGGCTTTCGGAGAACACTGACTGACAGACGCGAGACGAGTTTAGTGGCGTCGTGGCCGAGAGCAGCGGAACGCACGCACGTTTGCGCACGCTTATTTATTAAGGATCCTTCCGTCGACGCGTCGCGATTATTTATTTGTCTCGTTTACGTTGTGCTTTTCGCGCAGTAACACGTGTGGAAGCAACCCGAAGCCACCTCGAAGGAAGGAAGTGAAGAGCACGAAGGAGCATCGTCCACGATTTGTCGTCGCGCAAACGGGGGAGAGAGGGAGAGAGAGAGAGAGAGAGAGAGAGAGAGAGAGAGAGAGAGAGAGAAGGAAATAAAGAAATCGATTCTCGGACAAGAGGCAAGGAAAATGTGTAGTGCATAAGAAACTGTACCAAGAAACGGACACTCCTCTCTCTTTCTCGTCGCCGTCTCGCTCGGTGCGACTTCGCACTTACACACGTGCACACATATATACACACACACATCACGCACGCCCGTGCTGCCGACGTCGTCGTCGTCGTCGTCGTCGTTGTCGCCGTGTTTCGCGACTCGTCGCGAGGTGAGTGATCCGTCGTCTCGAACCACCGTAACGAGCGACTCGTCGTCATCGTCATCCGATTCGCCGCTGTGAAAAAGTGTTAAGTGCCCCCCGACACTCGTCTCCGCGTCCCCCCTTCCCCTCCCAGTTTCTTGCTATCTCTCGTCTTCTCTCACGCGGAGATCCAGCGGAACCTACCGAGAACGTGCGAGCACGTGGACACACACAGGGCACACCGAGCCGGGACGTTCCTCCGGAGGAACGCGAACGGGACAGCCGGTACGTCTCGAAGTGTAGTCCGAGGTGTGGTGATCGTCGATTCGGGCTCGCGCGTCGAACGCCGTCATCGTCGTCGGAGTCACTTGGTCGCTCATCATGGATCTCCTCTGCTGCGAGACCACGGAGAACAACTGCCGGGCCTACGCCGACCCGGCGCTCCTCGACGACGACCGGGTCCTGCAGAACCTTCTGCAGACCGAGGAACGATACGCGCCCAGCAGCTCATACTTCGAGTGCGTGCAGAGGGACATCTCGCCGCTCATGCGCAAGATCGTCGCCGAGTGGATGTTGGAGGTAAGTGCCGTTTCCGGTTCACGTGTCGACGTCGGCTGCGCGAATCGCCGCCTCTGTCGCATACGTAAACTCGCCGGTCCGATCGCGTCGTCATCGCCGGCTTCTTCTGGTATTCCGTGCAGCACTCGCGGTAGACTGCCGGCATTCTTTACTGCGAAGTTTGCGGAACAACAGCATTGACTCGTTCGCTCACTCTCTCTCTCTCTCTCTCTCTCTCTCTCTCTCTTGCTCGCTTCCTTGCTCGCTTTTGACGGCCCAGTTGATTTTAATTGGCGAGCTTTGGCCGCGGATAGAGTAGAACTACTCCGACAGAATCGCCTTCCGAGGTAAAGTCGATTACGTGGACGGCGATTAACGTCGACCGTCTCTCCGTCGCCTTTTTGAAAGGCAGGAGCTAAAGATAGAAACGATCGAGTCTCTCCTTCCCCTTCTCTTTCTCTTTCTTTCTCTCTCTTTCTCTCGCTCTTTCTGTCTCTCGCATGATTGGAAGTTAATCGACGTCGGGAAAATGCCCGTGTTGATCGTAAGATGTACGATTACGAAGATTACGTGTTTCTTTTGAAAGATACTTTGCCTGAGTGAGAGAGAGATAGATAAATAGTTGAACCCGAGGGAAGAATAATCTCTTTAGACATACGATGCAAAATACAAATACAGGGATTACAGCAAAATAATAGATAGTTAATGAGCTTAAACTATGTTTTACGCTTAAGAACATTAAACTAACATAAATAATGTAAAGATATAGTACGCATATAGTTTAATCCTGTGTAAAGTTTGAAGGCATGAAACTCATATACTATGCATCTCACAGTTCTGAAGTTTTATAAAAGGCAGATTTAGAAGGACGCTAAAGAGGAAGTCTCAGTGATATTCGCAGGCAAGGAATTCCAAAGATATCCATTACCATAGAAATCCTTTTGTGAATTTCCGCACGACAGGTAGGAATCTTGAGTTTTTACCGGACACAAGTTGTTTTTACACTGGTGGAAGAATAAGGGAGCAACTCATAGAGATAGGAAGGCGATTGAGCCTTAAGGACAATGAGTCAAGCAACCTATCTGAAGTAAGCGCCTGTTTCACAAAGCCAGTCATTCCTTAAGAATTCTATAAGTTTCGAAGAATGACCTATGGACTTCGACAGACTGGCACTATTTTTAATATAATTACAATAATTTTAATCATCTTTTTAGAGAAGGAAGAGAGAAAGAGAGAGAGAGAAAAAGTTGGAAAGAATTATTCAGAGTTTATGTATAGCGTACTTATATTTATGTAAGAAGGATACATTGCTATTGTAAATCACCGCTGCAGAGTTAAAGGTCTCGCGCCGACGCGTCTAATGTTGTTGTCGCTCACGAATCTTATTCTCGGACGTGCGGCCGACGTCGGCGATTTATTATTATTCAGTCGATTTAAAAACACCGAAGGTAAACGCTGTGGCTGTGTGTCAGACCAGTGTTCTTAAAGAACAATGTAATCGAATTGATTTGTATCTAAATATACGCCCGGCGGACGGATGAAGGTCAATTTTCACGCGGCGTGTAAATTTCGGTTCCTTCGATATAACGCGTCCACGCAGGGCGGGCGGAGGTGGAAGGGAAAGGGAGAGGAAGGAGGATTCGTGTGTACATGTTTTGTAACTTGAATTCTCTCCATTTCGGAGAACGCGAGGGTAACAGCGCGACGACCGAATTTCGCGAACACACATATTGATGCCAACAAAGGCGATTGAAAAAGCCAATATCAATAATCGGATAAGGCAACAGTCGCTTATACATTATAGCCGGCACAAACGCGTCCGCGACGCTTTGTTGCGACGATTGTATCTCGAAAATTATCGCGCACATGTCTGTCTCTTTCTCTCTTTGGCCTCTCGTCAGCCTGCGTCTTCACGTGCACCGATAAAAAGAATGTGCCGTCGATGCCGCATCGAAGCTCGCCTTATTTATATCGAAGTCGCGGGTTTACGCGCTCGACGATTTAGAAATTGTACGCTCCGTAGTGAAAGTTAGAGGAGAGTCGCCGAAATCGTGCCTCATCAATCGTACCTGATTATTTTCAAACAAAAGACGAAAGAATTGCAGCACGCACGAAATAAGATGTAATCTGAAAACGTATATGTTTGTGTATCTTTCATTGCTCCTTCATTTCCCATCACTTTAGGTGTCGTTTGTATTCGATAATGATAAAGAAATTGATGAGGCAGGATTTAAGAGACCGGCACACGACTTGGGCGACTCTCTCCTAATTATTCCACAAATTGAGGACTCGCGGGCCGCGTGTCGCGAAGCAAGCTGACGTCCTCGTCCCGACGAAAGACAATCGAGCCGACTTGGAGCACCCGTAGACAAAAGCGCGATGACACTGTTCCTCTCTGTCGCTGCCGCGTCTTCATCAAATCATCGCACGCGGAGGCACTTAAATTGCTTGCGATTAAAGCGCGAGCGATCGTCTCGTGCGCGAGACGATCGTCAAATGTTTCCGCGCTCTGATCGGGAACTTGTCACTGCGTGTTCCTTTGTCCCGACGCGGTCCATTGTGATCCGAAAGTTTCCACATTTCGCGGAATTCTTTGTCGACGAGCGAACGCGCAAGTGCGAGGACGAGACGGGACGGAACGTTCGCCGTTTTGCGCGATATACGCGCGATCCTGGCATCCACGTGGAATAAAATTTATTCGATGTTAATATGCGAATTCAGATACACGAGATATTTCGGCACAACGGTTATCCGAATAGATATTAAAGGTTTAAGGCAGCGGCGCGTCGTAAATCGGCATTTCTCAAGATTCACTCGCGAGAGAGAGTTCACATCAAGAGAGAGAGAGAGAGAGAGAGAGATTCTCCGAGAGTCCGAAGCCGCTATTCTTTCTCAGGATCGCCAAAGAAGCTCGATCCCTCTATTCCTATTCTCTGTTAATATATGTAAAATTATATACGTATATGTTAATTCACGCAAGAACGTCTCGCTTCGCGAAAGCAATTGAGCGCCGCGCATAATGACATTCTTTCCGCGACGTTTACCGAGTTTGTAATTCAGCGGGAATTAATTCCCCCGACAGGGCGAAGCAATCGCGCGGCGACATACGTAACGGCGATTTTGACATTTCACCGTCATTGAGCTGGAAACTCGGCCCGGCGCCGATAAGCCGCGACTTACGTCACCGGCTGCGTTTCCAAAGCTGCCGATAACGGAATTGTATTCCGCGATTGACATCGTGTGTGCTTGTCGATTAAAGAGCAGTCGATGGCCCGGTAGCCGCGATCTACGCGTGCGTTTATCTACTCCCGATCCGATCCTGGCGATTTAAAGGCCGGGACAGTTCACGCGTGTCGCGGTCCCGAGACAAAGGAATTTGCTCGCTAAGTGCTCTGACAAAGAGAGACAGACAGAGAGAGAGAGAGAGAGAGAGAGAGAGAGAGGAGAGACAGAGAGAGAAAACAGCAAAGTATAATACTTTCAACAACACTCTAGTCTTAATCAATCCTATTCTCAATTTCGCGATAAGAATGTCGCTTTCACGGGCGTATCGCGATTCGTGAGCTATCGCGGGTCATTTGCCACTAGTTTAATTACACCGTTCAAATTAAGTATATTCTTTAAGGAGTTGAGATTCGACGGTCCACATGCGCCGATAATGATTTCGCCTTGGACGAATAAAACGGCAGATTAAGCGAACTCGATCAGCACAGTACTTGCGCGAAGGCAGCTACACACAAAAAAATACACACTGCATTGAAGTAAATGTTACAATGAGAGAAGAAAGTGATTGGTCTGAGTAAAATTATAGTTACCTCTACACGGAAAAAAAGGTTTGATTGAATTAATCAAATATCTGGTCGAATATGAACGATCCAGAAATTCCGATTGAAGTAACCCGAATTCTGTTTAACGAGATTTTTGGTTGACTTAAACAGAATTCGGGTTACTTCAATCGGAATTTCTGGATCGTTCATATTCGACCAGGTATTTGATTAATTCAACCAAACCTTTTTTTCCGTGTAGTAACTATAATTTTAACTCCAATTAAAGTTATTACCTTAGACACGTATCTAACTTTGAACATTCCTATTGTCTTGGTCTTCGAATACGAATATTTAAACTTTCGACATAGAATATATATGTTCAGTACACGTATACAATCCGGAGAAATAACTTTAACATTTCAAAGGAACGAATTTTTTCGATTACGCGCAATGTGTACACATATTCGTGCATCATGACTGCTGCGAGCATTTTATGTCGCATGCCAATTGTCACTTGTTTGATCCATGCTTCTCATTCGTTTCGCGTGAAGCCTCGAGCAGCGATTTTGAACGGATTTGAACGAGCGAGAGCAGAAAACACGCTTCGAAAGAGAAAGAAAGACGATCAGCCGCGTCGACGAATTAAATGTCGCTCTCTGCACGGCCTCCGAACTTCCTTCTTCGTCGGATATGGTAATGAATTTCTCCGCTTCCGGACCGGATTGTTGTGTCGTTCCTTTGGCCCATTACCTCGCTCTCGTTCAAATCGGAGCGAAACGATATGAGTTATATCGCGCTCACGTCCCGGGCGTGTGCGTACAGCTCGATATACATTCTCTCTTTCTTTCTCTTTCTGTCTCGCCGCAGAAGCGGATTGTTTTTCTCTTCCCGTCAACGAGAGCCCACGATGATGACGACGAAGAGGAGGCGTTCGATAAAGCCTCCTTTCGGTGCCGTTGGGAACGTGTATCTCACACTCTAATCGCTCGAAAATTCGTCTATCGTCCAGAGCGATCAGATTGGTTCCTCGATCAAATCATCGCGATATTTCCCGATATTGCGGAGTTTGCTCAGCCGATAGAGAGATAATTGTGACGCCGGCACTTTGGCCTGGTTGAGGCCTGTCTCCAGGAAAGACACCTTAGTCGTAGTTACAATATTGGGAGGAAAGAGACATCGGTATCGGGTTCATTATACGCGCTTCGCGCAAAAATCGCAATTGCCGACGTGGCGACGTGCCGTCTTCGTTGCATCACGCAGTTTGTAGTTTAGCGTTGCTCTTTTCCTCGAGCATTTAATTGCTCTCTCGCGCCCCAGACGTCTAATTGCAACAGTCAAATTCGCGCGGTGACCTCGACAGCGCGTTTCGCGACGATAGCGAGCTGGGCCCGGGTCGTATACGCGTGCGTACGTGCGTGCGTGCGTGTGTTCGTGACGAATTCTCCGACATTACGCCGCGCGTCAATCCGGCTGACAGAACGCGACACTGACAGGTCGTCCTCGTGTATGCGTCGATGGAATGTACTCGAGTTTTCGGAGCGATCGCCGTTTGCGCCAGTCGTAATTATACGGGGTGTGCCTCGAGATCGCTTCGACGAGTCGGCAAACGTGCCAAACGCGAGTCAATTCTGGTCCCTCTCATTAGGCAGAAAATTGGAGCCGAAAATTAACGTGTTAAGCGACACGTCAACGAGTCGGCTAAGAGAAATAAAAAAAAAAAATAGAGAGTTCGCGAAATAAATCATGTGCAAGCAAATCGAGGGAAGTAAGGCCATTGCAAGCTGGTCGTGAGTATTGGTGCGAATAATAATCTAAAAGAAAAAGTCAATGACCACTAAAGACTCTCGGATATACAAAAAGACTCGGGCCGATAATACTTTTTAAGATGTACACATATTCTTGAATGCATATGTATACAGTTTGAACATGACGTCTGCGCCGAATATGTTTTCGCGATTATCTTTCAATCAAATAATTTCGTTTGTCGCGACACACGGGGAGGAGAGAATGTTCCATCGCGTCGATCGAACCTCGCACGACCTGAATCCGAAGGGAACATTGAGAGAAATTATTCGAAAAAATTAACGAACGGATATTTCCGATCAAATTCCGATCAGGTTTTTATATCCGATTACATTTAATCGGATACTTTCGATCATAATGATATCAGATAAGCCGATAAAAAAAATTATAAACCGATATTTCTCATCAGATGGTTCCTGATCGGACACAAGAATTCGTTGGTATTTTGATCGGAAATATCCGTTTGTTAATTTTTTATCGGGTAATTTCTCTCAATGAATGAAATCCGCGAGACACGCGCGCAGCGTGTTATTCGATGCAACACGCGTCAGGTACAAGAGCGAACAAGTTTCCGAGGAGGCTCGCCTGTGTGCACGTTCCAGGCTCGCTCCTCGCCCGTCACCCTGTATATAGAGTCGCGCAAACCTGGCTGATAGCGAGGGTGTTGGATTACCGGCTCGCGAGAGCCGCGGCCAGCCAGCCAGGGACTTGTCGACCGATTTCCGAACTTCTTCCGTCCGGGAGACTCCTTATCCTTTCGGTAAGAACACTCGGAATGAGGCCTTGCTTCTCTCCTCCCCTGCTCGATTATTATCGATGCACGAGAGACATAACACTGGCCGGCCGGCCGGCCTTTATCGGCGACAATTCTGCTTAATTGGCGCCGAACTTATGAAAGATCAGCGAGTTCGATAAAGTCACGCAGATAAGAGTAGCAGAATTCCTCGGGGCAGCTCGTCTCTCGCGAAGCCAACTCAAGATGTTGTTACTTTATCGATTACCAATTAAAATACGCGCATGGTAAATGCGGAGTCACGTCTCGTAGCGCAATGACTGTCGCTAATTGTTGCAGTCGATCAGCGCGTTAGTTTGTTCGCGAAAGATTCTCGCGGGCTCTCGAGTAACATCCGCATATAATGAAAAGGCCGACTTATCGCGTAAACGGCTTTCTCGGTATAGATTAACGACGAGTCGAAAATGCGAAAGCGAAAGTGTCGCGTATTATTACGTATGTTATTATGTCGCATCACTGAAAAAGCAATTATTTCATGATTATTATTGTAGTAAACGCGGAGAATCTTATAGTAAAGATTACTGTAGATTTCTGTTTGCAACCGAAAAATAGATCGACATTCTGCAGTAATTCACTATTGTTTCGTTTCTATTTATATTTTGAGAATTTAAATATATATATATATATATATATATATATATATATATACAATTAAAAAATTTGTTATATTTCTAGTGAGAAACCTACTATGTTCCTCAGTAAAACAGATTCTACTGATAGTCTATTCCTGCACTACTGGAAACAGTAAAATTGAAAAGAGTTTATATGAAAAAAAAAATTACAATATTCTCTCAGCATAAAGAACATCATGTTACAACGTTTATTATCGCTGACACATCGTTGATCGATCACGAGGAAATCTGCGCATTGTTAGCCAAACATCGTAGACTGATCCACGAATTTTCTTCGGCGTTTTGAAAAGAAGGTTTTAAGAAAAAGAAATATCTAAGAATAGAGCTGGCACAAGATGCTAAGTACGATTGGTCAGCGATGTATCGACGGTATGGCTGCTCAATAACGTGTTAATAAGAACTATCTCATTAAATTTGAGAAATTATTGCGTTTAACAATGCCACAGATGGAATATCGTGTCGATGCAACCGCGAGAAGTAACCAGGAGGAGGAACCCTTTGTCGACGACTCGCCTGGGCTTCGTGTTCCGCCGCTCCTGAATTCCGTGGGTTCTCCTTCGCCCCCAACTTCGCCTCGATCGGCTTTCGTCGATGTTTGAACAGATGCACGATTATACTCTCGAAGCGATTTCGTTCGATTCTCTCTTCCTCCCTCCCTCCCTCCCTCTTTCTCTTCTCTCTCTTTCTTTCTCTCTCCTCTTTTCTCTTTCTTGCTAGCAAAACCGGCCTCACGTATGATTTTCGCCGACGTGTAGCGCGATTATTTCGTTAAGCCGCTGCTGCTAATTGGTGGTGGCGGCGGGGTAATTACGAAAGGGTGCGTGTGTAAATTCGTGTGTGCGTGCATGCATGCGGCCAAGGGCTGGCGATCGTTGGTCACGCTCAATAAGTTCTTCTCTCGCGCCTCGACGACGACCGTTCGTTCGTTCGTTCGTTCGTTCGTTCGTTCGTTTGTTCGTTCTTTCCTTCCTTCCTTCCTTCCTTCCTTTCTTTCTTCCTTCTTTCCCTTCTTCGTTCGTTCGTTCGTTGCCGCCGTCTCGGCACCCCGAGGCGTCCCGGCGAAGATAATTCGCGATCCTGCCGCAATTCAGTGGCCCCGAACTTCAAAGGGACGCTGGGACTCGGTCCGGGGTGCTTGACCATCGCGACACGCGATTTGTCTCGTTGTTCATGATTGCACACTCGATGCGTGCGTAATAAATTATAATAATAAGACACGACGGGAATTCTCTTTTGTTTCTCGATCTTTGCGATCTTTCTCCGTCACTTTCGGAGAGGTCCTCGGGGAAGCTATGGGAATCCTGAAAAGATTCACGGACGCGCCGAACGTTGGTATCGTCGAGTTGCGAGGGACGAAGTTCGGCCGGTAAGAAAGAGAAAAAGAGAACCTGAAGTCGAAAAGTTCCCCGACCTGTGCGACCAAGGCGATCGACCCGCGACCGTTGGCGGCCGTGTGCTCGTTAAAATACGATCGAAGGAAATCCGGTGTGATACCCGCGCGTGCCTACGCCTATGTTAGTGGCATGCGATTGTGTACCGGGCGAAAATCCTTTTCATTCTGGCCGTCCCTTGAGCGTTGAAAAAATTGGGAAAATTGAAAACTGCTGAAAGTAAGGAAAACAATTCCAAAGATCAGAATTTGTTCTTCTTATTCGCGTCATGTCCTGAGAAATTAAAGACCTGTTCAGTTGAACTCTAGTACTGCTATTTAATTTTTTTATATTTTATTCTTATTGAATTTATTTTTATTATTTATTATTTTTATTATTATTTATTATTATTATTATTTTATTATTATTATTATTATTATTATTATTATTATTATTATTATTATTATTATTTATTATTATTTTTATTATTTATTATTTTTATTATTTTTATTATTTTATTTTTATTATACCACAATAGTTGATGTCAAAATTGGATTTTCTAATACCATAAAGGTGTATCAACATTACCGACTGAGAAGAAGCACGTTCCTGTTTCGATTCTAGACAGAGGATTTATGTTTAGGATAAGAGAGCAGGATAAGGAATCTTAAGAAAAATTTGAGCATTCTAATCAGAATCTATGTTGCGTCTAGGAAAAACTTTGAGGAATTTCTATGCCTGTTTCTCTCGGGCTCGGACGGAGTGCGACCATACAAGATCGCTGGATACGTTTGTGTCCTTGTAGTTACTCGCTGAGTAACTCGCAAAATCCGCTATTGGAAATTCGCGTCCGTCGTGTATCGGGCATCAGCGCGTACGTACGTTATCGCGGCCTTGAAGAGCGATTCCTGTCGCGCCGCGCCACGCCACGACATAGCATTACGTTACGTCGCTCTCATCTCCGGTTCTTTCGTCCTGCTTGCAGGTATGCGAGGAGCAAAAGTGCCAGGACGAGGTCTTTCCCCTGTCGATGAACTACGTCGACAGGTTCCTCTCGATCTGCCCGATCAGGAAGTCTCAGTTGCAGTTGCTCGGCACCGCCTGTCTCCTGCTGGCGTCAAAACTGCGCGAGACATCGCCGCTCGCGGCCGAGGTTCTCGTTTTCTACACGGACAACTCCATCACTTTGGACGATCTCTGGGTAAGTAATGCATGACAAATGAATGAAGGAAGGAAGGAAGGAAGGAAGAAGGGAAAGGAGGAAGGAAGATACGAATGATCAAGCTGCAATGGTCACTCGCTCGATCATCCGGCCAATCATTCTTCCGCTATTTTTCGCAATTCGCACCGATCGATCCGGCGCTTTTCGGCGTGGCAGTCGAGAACTGCGTATTAGCTCTTTAACCCACATATAGACGCGCAAATCGCAGGCCATTATCTTATCGCGACACTGTTAAAAGGTCTTTGCAACGAGTGAATTTATCTGGCTGCGCGCGAGAGCCGACAATAAGTTAATAATAATTTTTGAGTACGATCCATCTTTCTCTCTCTCTCTCTCTCTCTTTCTCTTTCTCTCTCCTATGGACGGCACGAAGGCATGACAGAGCTAGATCGCGTCGCGTTGAGGGTGCCAGTCATTCGCACGTAACTAGTTCGGTGCGGTCTATGGCCGAAAACTGGATCGAGTAGGATTATAGCGGTCTCGAGCGGCGGATTCGCCACCGTGTGCGAACGAGTAAAGCACACGCACGGTACCGCTACTCTCGCTCGCATACCTACTGCATAATTCCGCGAGTAGGCGTCTCGCCGACGCAGCGAGAGGAGAGGAGAGGAGACGAGATCGAGGAAACGATCTACGTCGTCGTCGTGTTCATCGCGATCGATAGCGTCGCGATTTCATTGGCCCGTTCTACGTGCAGAATGTGGAGTAACGATCGGGCGAGATGGAGCGATCTGGGTATCGCGATCGTGCGAGCGTACTCGCAAATACATATATGTATCTGACCGGCGATTGTTGCTTTTCACGAGTCAGATCCAGAGGCGGATATCTAACGGCGTATCCTCTCTCGCTGTCACCTCGTTCCTGTCGACGCGTCTGTCGTGGCTCGGCCGATCGCGATCTCACCCTCGCGCGGGCGTCATGAAAGTTGCATGGGAGAAATTGGAGACGAGAGTCCGAGAGACTCTCGACGCGAACACTTCTCGGCTCGGCGTAACTGTTTATTATACAGCTCGTCTTCTGAAGGAGTGCCGCGACACATTTGGGCTTCTTTAATTCGGATTCGCGTGAACACAGACGATGGCGGGAGGAGAAAACTCGGATTTAAGAAGAGAGCCTGCTGTTTGTTTTCACGATCGTTGACCCGTCGTACACACTCGATGTGTACTTGAGCCGCCGGAGCTCGCCATCGAGAAGGGCGATCGCGCTCGACGTGTTCTCGAAGGCTTGCTCTTGGACTCTTCGCGAGTTGCGTGTTCGCGCTGCGGATTTACCACGAGCGCGCGTCGCCAGCGCGTACACGCGAATTCCGCAAATTGTTCGACTCGGCAGAAACGCGGACGACGCATTCAGCCGAACATGGCACCATTCTCTCCCGTCGGAACGAGAAGGTCAAGTCATTGGTCTAGCTTTAGATCGTTTATCTAATGTCTTCAGATTTATCTAATGTTGGAGATACCGAGGAATGTCATTTTCAACGTTGAACAGATGACAAAGTGATCTTTAGGCGAGTTTCCCGACGCAATCGCTCGGTTCTATGCTCGGTTTAATATGCTGATCTTCACTGATAATTTTAGCGCTCAACTCTAGTTTCAATCGCCAAATGTGTGGCGAAGAAATGCACGAAGAGTATATTGTAGTTTCTATTTTTCATATAAATTCTTTTCAATTTTATTACGTAGTATCAATTTTCAATTTTATTACGTATTATCCAGTAGTGCGGATATAGACTATCATAGTAAGGTCTATCTTGCTAAGAAACACAATAAATTTTTAATAGCACATTTCAATTCTTAACATGTAAATGTAATGTAATAGTGCGTACGAAATGAAAGAATAGACAATTACTGCAGAATGTTCTTCGGTTACAAGATTCTATAGCAACTTTCATACTATAAATTCTCTTTATGCACTGAAAAAAATGGTATTTGTAACTATATATAGTCATGTAAGGAAATAATTACTATAAATTATGGTCAAGAAGATCCTTTTTCTTCATTAAATTCTATAATAATGTTAATAACACGATAGTTTTATATGCATGTTTTTGCTACCGTGTTAGAGCAACAAAAAAATGGGATAAAAATAATTTTAGTTACATCATTCATCTTTTTCTTTCAACGTGTGCAATTCATTATGCATATATTCGTCAGCTCGTTTTATTGGCTCTCTCTCTCTCTCTCTCTCTCTCTCTCTCTCTCTCTCTCTCTCTATATATATATATATATATATATATATTTAGTTTGTTTTTTACAATTAGCTATGATCACTATGGACTATCATGGTAGTTGGCGTGTTATCTTAATTGCAATCTTAATGAATACGATGGAAAAACAAAGAAACACGTGAAACCGCGATAAAGCTGCGTGGTTCTTCAGCGACCACGAGACATACGTGGGATGCGCGTCATTGTAGCGAAAGGCTCGAAACGCGACCAGCTGACATCGCTGCATCTCCGAGGACTGCACGTCGCGTGCATTAGACGAGTCGTCAAGTGAGTGCCGTGTCAAATCGCGTTCGTTAGACGAAAGCGATTCGGCGTGTCTCGCTCGTAGCGGCGCATTTGCCGATGCGAGGTAGTCCAATCGACGGTGACGTAGTCCCACGTGGACTATTTTGGGTCGTGCCAGGCGGTCTTCGGCTATAATGGGATGGCGATCATCTGCGTCCTTCCGTCTGTGTCTCTCTCTTTCTTTCTCTCTCTATCTGTCTTTCTCTTTTTCTCTTTCCCTCAGTATCTCTTCTTCTTTCCTATCTCTTTTCGTTCTCTCTCTCTCTCTCTCTTTCTCTCTCTCTGTCTGTCTTTCTGTCTCTCTCGTCCGCTCTGACGTCGCGACTTTTTCGTGGCCTCGAAAGTTAAATACCTTCCCTGCGTCTCGCACGTTTTCGCGGAGGAACTCGCGCGTGATGGCACCGTCTGAATATCGTTATCGCCATCCACATCCGTGCCAGACGGGGCAATTAATCGTGCATTGATACTCTCTTTCTCTCTCTCTCTCTCTCTCTCTCTCTCTCTATCCCTCTCTCCCTTCCTCGTCGGAATAGACGTCCACAGTGAATCCTCGCGGCGAATGTTAATTATACGCTAACATTCCGAACGTCTCGCGCGACATTCTGCGCGTGTTGAGATAATGTCGAGGTGCATTGGAGGGAAAGAAAGGAAAATAAAAATATAAGAAACAGTTCTCCGCTGCGGCTCGTGAATGGATTTCAGTTTTACGCGTATTTTTCGTCGCGATCGGAATAAACTGGGGCGGCGCTAAAGTCGAATCCGAACGTCGAGGACACGCGCGATATTTATTGCGCACGCACTTGGACGTACATAAATCCGCGCGACGCACTCCCTCTTACTTGTTCTTTCTGTCTTCCTCGCCTCTCGTCCTCCGTATCGAAATGCGAATTCAGAGGATCAAGATCTCACAAGATTACTTGTAACAGTCTCCCGAATAAAAGTTCAATCATCATTATCGGATTGCACAATGTGCGGATTTATCTTCTATTGATTGTTCCAAAGTTATACCTCGCCCCGTTTACTACGATCGATCGTTCCTCAGCGAAACGCGAAAAAAGTATTACATCAGCGTTTGTGCTCCTCCGTTTTACAAGAGTACAAGGATATCTCGTCTAAGCGCTCCTATTGGTCGGACGCCAGATAACTCGTCATCTGTCAGTAGCGTATCTACTCCACCGACCCGTCTCGACCCGCGTGACCATCCCCGTGAATCAACAAATGACCTCGTATTTCCTTGCGCGTATGGTGCGTATGTGCGTGTTGATTTTTCTAGTAAAACAAAAAAAAGAAAAAAAATAGAAAAAAAGAAATAAACTTTACACGCGATACTGGCATATCGTGCATTAATGCAGCACGCTTTGCTACCGAGGACTCTCTCGAAATGATAATATAGATAAAGACAGATAAAGATAACGCTCTGACGAGAGTGACATGAAAGTATTTTATCGTCGAGCTGCAACAGAGACAGAAATAGAAGGAAAGAGAGAGAACGAGAGAACTCGCGATTAAAAATTCTACGTTCTACGACAAAGACAAAAAAACTTGCTCAGTTAGTTTTTATTTTTTGCCGTCGGGATTTTTGGGAATATAATGTCTGAGCGTATTTCGCGTTTCTCCAAATTGTGAGCAGTTACAATTGAGAGTCGCAAATTTCCGACCTGTGAGGTTTCACAGCTTGATGACGATTCGTCATTTGTTTGAAACGTTCCTCTCGTCGATATTCTATCTCTGGTCTTGTTGCATTCCTGCCGCGACAACGATCGTGTACTACCGTATTTTTGTAGAAATTATAATATCCCGCGACTTCTGCGGGCTACCGTGCGACATGAAACCCAATATGATAATCACGACGAGTATCAGGTATCAAACTACGCAAGCTCTAGTCGACGCGTAAAATGAGCTGTAAGATCGCACGGCTTCGACCTCAAACCTACATTAACAATTCACACGCAATATTAGCGCGTATATGATTTTTTTAATCCTCCCTACGATTAATCCACGACATACTGAGAGTAAAAAAATGATTGACTAACTAAAATCTTAGTTACTTTTGGTCCCAACTATATTTTTCAGTTCTCGAAGATAATAGTGATAACGTACACATAAAATTATTACCACTAACACGTAGCAATAGAATTTAACGAAAGAGTGGTTTTTTTACTATAACTATTAGTAGTAACTATTTCTTTATGTCATTATAGAATTTACAAATATCAAATATTTTTTTCTCAATACATGTCATAAATCGCGATGAAATGTAAGAAAATTTAGTCAAAATTGAAACTCCTCGAGAAAAATCTCACTCTTTCCACCGAGATAAATGCCAATTCGAGATCGATGATTTTGAGTTCCAATTCATCGGAAAGATTTTAAATTCAATTTCCTAGAAAAAAAGATGGAATAATTTCGCGAGATACCAAGCGCGCAATTCCGGTCGATGCGACTTTGACGAAGTTGCTTTAACAAGATC